TTTTAGAGAGCTCTGTGGCAATGGCTGAATATCACCTACTTTGTTCATAGTTCCAGAAACTACTGTTAGGTTCCCCGTTACTCCGGAGAACATACTTAGCTTCAGCATCCTAAAAAGAGGATTATAGAAATTACTCCTATTACCTAAAGGGGGAAGAGAGCAGCAAAAAAAAAATCTCTGTAAAATTGCAAACTATATAATCTGCAAAGAAGACATGGAGGAAAAGATATCTTAAGCTTTTGCTGCCACATCTAACAAAAGTCTATGTTTGTTGAGTAAAGGTATGGACATCTACACCTATGTGTTACAGTAACCCTGATAAAAAGCTTAATATTTTAACTTTCACTTTGTTTTTTACTGTAAGATTTTTTGGTGAAATGCTGCATCTGCTAGCTGTTTACACCAAAAGTTCAATTTTGAAACGATTGTCTAGGTATTTGGGCAAAGAAGAAGGAATTCAAGTGAGCATGGAATTTCAACATCATCACCTTGAGGTGTCATTTCAGCGTTGGTCTGTGGATTTGAATTGCAGTAAAAAAAACTAAATGTGTTAAAGTCAAGAGAGCTTTTGTAGGAGAGGACAACTGTTTCCATCTGTTAATTCATTGTCTAATTGTTTAAAGAGTTTGGTTATGTTTTAAACAGATGTATTAGTCTTCAGTTGGCTGAAAAGCATATGTGTCAGTTCCTATGTGCTGCACTTGCCATTTAAATTAGACAACATTCTTCTTCAAGAAATGTTTAGGGGTAAGATTTCCTATTACTCTAACTGAGCCTTAGCCTAAATTTTATGAATGCAAAAATATATATTTTAGACAGAACTTTGAATATTTTAGACAGAAATGGGAATGAGCATTAAATATTGTACTTAAATTTTTTGGAAACTAAATACTAGGGTGAATGTGCAGTAAACTTAAAGTAAAAAACCATATTCATGTTGCAGCAACCAGTAACTGCTAACTGGATGTATTTGGACACTTATTAAGCACAAACCAGTTTTGTCTAAATGCCTCTTGCTTAGTTCTTCAGCGTAGTTTTGCCAATAAGCACTTCAAACTTAAGTGATTTGCAAGTTTTGTATTGTAACTAGCATGCCTCTTTTACAAATGCTCATTTTCCATTCATTTTTATCAGATTACGTTTGGCAGCAGTGGGAAAACAAATTATTTCAGAATAGGTTGGAAAATAATGTAATCGTGTGCATGTTTTCATTAATTTTTAGCAATTGCTTTGACTTTCAGGTTGGGAGTAGTCTTACATGTTTTCTTTCCTATTGTTTTTTTCAATATTATACTCCTAAAAATTAGATTTAGACTGGGAAAATAAGAATTACAGTACCTAATGGAAACCTTAGATAATAAGCATTTTCTCTTTCAGCTTTTTAAGGACCCCTTCATTAAAATTTCATAGATTGATTTCACTTTTCTACGATGTCATTTGAAGCCTACAGTACTATTTTAATGTAGGCTTTTACATTTTTATCAGCTCTTGCTTAAACACAGTGTGACTACAGTGTAAGCTCCTGCTCACATCTTAATATGAGAAAGGCAGTTAAACGATCAGATCTCAGCATGTGTTTCTTTGGTTCCAGAGAACATAATCGTCCAGCAATTTTATAATATTGAGGAGGAAAAAAGAAAATAAAACTGTTCTAGAAAGACTGTATCTTCTGCAGCATATTACACAAATGCGGTTATCATTTCTTTAGGACATTCCAATAATTTATCTGTGTCTGCCCATATAAATTGATTATTATAATAGTAACCATGGGGCAAAATTTTAACAACTTGCTGGCACTACGATGGCTTCTTTTTTTATAGCACACACAGATGAAATCATGGTCACGCTGCAATCAGAGCGAGAGTAATCATTTTGTAAATACTGAAAGTCTAAGGAAGATTAAGCTTTGGTTTCAGTGTTAAGTCTGTTGACATAAACTGGGAGAGCTTTTGTTTTAGGCTTTCTACCAAGCCAGGGGGACAACAGTATGGGGTTTATGTTCTCCTCCAGCATGGTTTGTTTTTTTCCCCTAGAACCATGATATCAGGTAGTTTATTTTAAATGAAAATATATGAGGCAAAGGGAATTTCATGGTCCTTCCATGACACATACAGTTGCATCAAAACTTATGATGTAATTTATTATCGTGCTACCCAAGGGTTGCATCATTAAGTGGTTCGTATTTCTGTGGTGCTGTCTGCAAAGACATGTAACAGAACAGTATCTGAATCAGAGAACGTAGCAGTGATGGAGCAAATAAGTACAGAAGCGAATAAGTGCAGAAGTAGATACAGTACAGTCTTAGCTATGGCTGTTAGTTTCACTGAAGAAAAAAGTTTAGGATCAGTGCATCTATTGTGGCTATGTCTGCTGAGGCTGAATACACATTTACCAGTGGTCACTAAAAATTTAGGCAAACATCTGAGCATGCCCTTCCTTTCAGCACATTGAATTAAATACTCTTACAAAGTGCAAGAGTTGTTAATAACCAGAACTCTGAGCTGCCTCTTTTTTTTTTTTTTTTCCCTTCTCCACAAGTGTAGTAAATTTAATGCTGACTAAATTGTAGGAGTAACAACATTGTCTATAATCAGGTTGACAGGGGCTGTGCAAATGTTATGGCCCATCAGGATTCCCTTTCTCAGCCACATAGGAAATTTTTCACTCTAAATCAACACTTACTAAAGTATATTAAACTTTAGTTTATACTTTAGTATATTAAACTTTCGTTACCACGTACTATTCCATAGATTTCTTTTTATTCCATCCACAAGCTCCTCCTTCCCTCTCCTCACCCCAGAAAAAGGACCTGTTGCACCATCTCCTGCTCCTGTGTTGTAACAGACTCATCGAAGATGTCTTCCACAGACAACTGGGAAGAGATATTTCTTTCCTTATAACTCCCTGTTTTGCCCCAGCAGCCTCTGTGCTGGCAGCTACGCTGTTCAGATGTGGACTCGGCTGGGAATACGTTCAAATGTCTCTAGCTGTAGTGTTTGTCTTCTAACTACCATATATTCACATGAGTATTTCTAATACATGCCACCACTGCTAATCTGAACACAAGAAAACTTTGAAGAGTATTCATTCTTTATTTCTATGGTGTATTAAATGGAATTGTTTTTACTAAGATACGATATGATCAGGGAAATAATATTGAGGCATTTTTTTTAAGGTCTAATTTTGGGAAGAATTTAAAAGAGCCTTTGGGCATTTAGCCCTCAAAGCTAAAATCCATGGTGTTAAATTTCTAAAGACTTATGAAAAAACTTGCTCTTGCAAGTTCTGCTGAGTACAATATCTCCTTAGTGCTGCAGGTGATGTGATAGTGCTCCACAACTACCTGGAGACAGCGCATGGGGCAGAGCGGGGGAAGTGTAATTACTTAAGTAACACAGAATGTAACTACTAAGGTGTTTCCTCCATGTCAGAAATGTGCCAAATGCAGATGTAGAAAATTGCAGCATATATAATTAAAGCCACAGCTTGCAGTGTCTAAAACAAGAATAAAATACCACTGCTGGTTCTTTTCTGCATTTGCCGTCTGAGTCTTGGGAAGTTAGTTGTCTTTTCACCAGCGTGTGGACACAGTCTAAAAGATAGTATCAACTTCTCCATGTGCTGAAATTCTTTATAGTGGGAATGAGGCTCACAGGATCTACGTTAAGCCAGTCAACACATTTGAAAAATTCCAATTAAATACTTCTGGATCAGAGAAACCCAGTTTAACCAAATAAACTGCAACCCACCTATATTATGACATTTTCCAAATAGCTTGGTATGTGAATGCAGTATTTTTTAAAAGGATTCCAAGTAATGTATGACTCTTATAGCAGCTTTTAATTACATCAGTTCAAGCAGCTGGATGTAAAGCTCCCTTTTCTGTAAATTCAGCTGGGCCATAAGAATTACTTCAGATGTGAAATGTGAAGCCATCTACTTCAGAAATAAATTTTCATTTCCAGTTTAAAATTGTAAACAAATTTTAAAATATGCATGTCCTTCCTTTTAAAATGACTATATAGATAAATATGTAATTCAGAGCACATTTCAGTGGAATGGCATCTGTAATTACAGCAATGCCCTACGCTGCATATCTGGAGAAACAGTTGAAGAGCCCAACAAAGAACAATTATATACTGCCCCTATTGATTGACTAATAACACATTTCATGAGTATACATTTACAGTCTCTGCTTAAGAGGAAGCAAGTGTGCCCTTCTGCCATTTTCGTATGTTGAAGTACCCGACACCAACAGCCTCCTTGGGAAGCAGCTGCAGGAGAAAGCTTGCAGGAATTCATGGGAACCAAGCTCTGGCAGGCACTGTGCTGTGAGATGTTGAGAGCAGCTGTCTCTCCCGGAGGACTGATCGAATTAATCAGTTGATAGGGAGTATCTGGCTTTGCTGAGAGGCAGCCACTCCTGGATCCGGCCCCGTCGCGTTCCTAGACCCGCAGGAGCCAGGAGACGCTGCCTCTCATAGGTTGTAAGAGTTTTCTCTGCAGGGGAATTCAGAGTGTCGTGGTTTCTGAAGCTGGCAAAAGCTTGTGCCTAGTACAAAGGCAGGAGTCTACTGATAATGATGGGAAGTGTTTTGTCCTTTGCGGATAATCTGTCCATTATGTACGGTAGAACAGATATGATGACTCGGCTAGCTAAGCTAAAATACTAAACTAAACATGATTCAGCAAATGCCGTGGCTCAGGAGAAAAGAAGGCAGCCTCACCTTGAGGACCTGAGGACTGGCTTTGGGTGTTGCATCACTGCTCCACACATGTAATATCCCCTCTCCGTGTTCTCACTTATGGAAACCTTCCTGCATGTCAGCTGCTGCACGTAGCTGCCATTTACTGTTTATCTTTCTCCACTGCCTGCCTTCTCTCTGCATCCTAATAATCACGTTTTCACCCTGTCCCTTTTTTTTGTCTCTCAGGCTACTGTCATTGAAAGGGCACATGGAATGAGGGCACTGGCTTGGGAATTTTGCTCCTGCAGAAAGATGGCTGATGCAAGAGGGCTCGTGCTTTGGGCCAAAGTAAAGGGGAGAGTAGCGGATCCACTCCAATGGCTGATGCTGCCTTTGAGGGCATGCCCTCAAGGATGCTGAAATCTCTCATACAGGCTGCAGAGTCAGAGTTGTTCAGTTGCTCCTTGAGCCTCTCTATGCTGTTCCTTGTTAACGGATAGCTCTCCACCCACAGGTGGCCTGTTGGACCCCGTTGACTTAGACATTTAAATTAGTTTGTGTATCTAGCCCTGTCTAGTGCAGGTATTCAGGCTGGCAGTTGTATGAATGTTCCGGTATTGCTTCATATAATTCATGGAGACTTCTACGTAAGCTAAGGTTTTGGGTTGGTTTTTTTTTTTTTTTTGTTACAAGGTTTTAAATCTCAGTATCAGAAGGGTTGTGGATGTTCCAATGGCTTTGCTTCTACTAGAGCGTCTCGGTTTTGTCTCTTAATTTGCTGTTAGTACAATACTGAACTGAAATACTGTGATTTCCTTTTGTAATTCTCCTTAACTTTTTAAAGAAATTTGATTATCAGAGCTCCAAAACATTAGAATTTTGTGACATAGAAAGAAATTGCATATAGATCAACAGAGATGTGCCTCAGGCTATGGAAATGTGAGCTCTGATGTGCTCATAAATCCCAACGAGTTCTGCTTGAAGGAGACTGCAATGTAATATCCCTTCATAAGTGCTAAGTATTTACACTTAAATAAATACTACTACTCATCCTTCTGGGTTGAGCAGTACCAAAAAATATGAGATATTTAGACACAAATTCAAAAGAGCTCCAGAACAAAGAGTGAATGTATTGTATTTACTTTGCCATTTTTTTGGAGTTCAGACTAAATAGGATTTGCAAATAAGGGCAGCTGAGAAAAGAGAAAATAAGGCTGCTTGAAGTAAGCAATTGCCTGGTATACTACCTGGTGCTGTTAAGTTGACCAAAATGTCAGTTGAGACATGCTAAGTTAAAAAAAAAAACCACGAAACAATAAAACTGCAGCTTCATGCAGCTGGATTATTTTCACATTGTAAAAAGAATCTAAGTCTCAGGTTTGGGACTAATTATCAGAAGCTACAAATCACAAAGACTAGTAGGCAAATATTTCTACTAAAAATTCCAGTGAATCTGTTGGGAAAAAAAAATGTTTCTAGTGCATTATTTATTGGGATGGTGATGTGGCACTTGCTGGAAACCAGCATCAGTCATCTTTCTTCCAGATTGTGTCCTTGGATATAGAGTTACAGCAGTCCTTACCTGAATACCTTCTTTCCCGCCATAATGTTTATACTTCTGGAAAAGATTGCTTCACGTAAGCAATGATAGTTGCTTATAAGTTAATGATTAAAGAACATGTTGGCCACACAAGACTCAGACTTTAGTTAAATAAAAAATGCTTGTGAGATGCACTTACTGCATTTTACCGATACTTTAAACTTCAGCAAATAGCCAAATATTGTAGCGGTTTCTCAAGAATTGTTTCTTCTTATTGCCAGTAAGCAAATTAGTTTGAGTATCAAGCTATAGATTTTTACTTCTCCATCCTGAAGCAATTCCTTCATTTGTCTAGCATTTTCCATACAATTAGCACTTCTAAAAAAATGTATTTATAGGAAAGATGTTTTTAAATTTAAAATCAAAATATTATTTGAAAATAAAATTTATCTGTTATCTTTTCATAGTTCAGGTGGGTTTAACTGTATATGTTTCTAGAAATCTGTTGGATTTGGGGTGTAGTCTTCATAAAGCAGTATATTAACAGTCCTCCTGCATATTTCTTGTTATTCTCTGTCTTGGCTACCGCTGGTTTAGTTGTCAAATATTCCTCACCTCCACCTTCACCACCACCACCATATTCTTTGATGCAAACCGCCGTTATACTTACTCTTGGCTGAGAGGGAACATCTGTTTTCTGTAATTCTTAGCCTGCTGCTAATGGGTTTCCAAAAACTGGCTTTGGAACAGGTGCCTGGGAGCAAAACTGTAAGGTTACCATTTTGCCTGCTATTTCTTTACCCTTTCTGGGATGGATTGAGAAGGAAAAACTCCATTCTTCCACCATTGTGTGCAACGGGCTGTAAAAAGAGTTTCTGAGTCATTGGCATTGTAGGTTTCATTTTTGTTTTTAATGGGTGTTGTCTACAGGCTCACTTATTTTCTCCAGCTTATGCAGTGAGGGAAATTTTGTACTGCAAAGATGTAATTTTTCTTTTCTGATTTTCTTTTGTAGTCTGCCATCTTCAACTTTCAGAGTCTACTAACTGTAATCTTGCTGCTCATATGTACCTGTGCCTATATCAGGTCCTTGGCTCCCAGCTTACTGGACAAAAATAAAACTGGGTATGTAGTCTGATCATTTTAAAAATACACAAGCTGTTTGCTTTTAATTGCAATGTTTTACTCTTAGTATCTTCTAATGATGGGTGATAATACAAATCCTATTTTGAAAAATTTCTCTTTTTTAAAGATAAAAATCTTCATTTTATACCTTACAATAGAAGGCAATAAGGTATTTGCAAGCACTTAGTTGCAATTTTTTTAGTAAGAATTTATTAACTAACAAAGCCAGCTAATATTGCTTTATTAGTTATTTTCTAGATTTGCAACTTTCTCGTTAGATGCTTATTAAAGATACAGAAATGAGTGACAGAAGGAAAACATCTTCCTGCATGCGGCTACTGCTGTAATGATTTATTTTTTATTCTTAGAATGGGTAAGAAAACATTAACAGCAGAAGTTTGCTTTTTGGTTGTTTTCAAGATAGGCGTTTTGGAGGTACAAGTTTGAAACACAGCTTTAGCAATAGTCTGTAACTAAAAAAAATAAGAATTTTTTTAAATAAGCAACACTATCCTTATGTATGGTCTCCTTAAGTCATTGTTTTGTATTCTCTAAGACAAAGGAATTTGTAGATGAGTTTTTGAAAGCTTCTACAAAACCTAACCTATTTTTTTTGTCCTTTGGTCACTCTAACGTCATCTCTCACTTTTATTCATTCCTAAAGCACATGTTCCTAGGTGACCAGTGTTTTTCTTCTTTGTGTTCCGCTTTCTCCTGGAATGTGCTTAATGTTGCGGGGCCAATACTGCTGCAGAACAGTTCTTCTCTACCCTGCTCAGCACGACAATTTTTGGGGTGGTGGGAAATGGGCACAGCCATGGAGCCAAATCTGTGCCTCACTTACACTGTTAATACCAATTCACCTTTTGGTTACCCGTTTTCTTTGTGCTGCAAAGAATGTGACTGGATGTTGGGTGCAATCAGCAGTACGCAGAACTGTGATTTAAATGCTGTGGTTTTGAAGTAATGATTGGGCAATTTTGACCTAGAAACCGCTGAGGCCGCCCATAGTATTTCAGTAATACTGTCACCTAAGGTTAATACAAAGGAGATAATATTTATAGAAGTAGGAGGTAATTCTAGCTGGTAATGTTCTAGCTGGAAAAAACAGACAGGCTTTTGGGCGCTGGAGTTTCACATGTCCACTTTTTCCATTCGATCATTTGCTGTTAAAGAAAATGTTTTTTCCCAAAGTATCTTCTGTCATTTCTGCATTTAATTTTCAGAAAAAGTGTCAAGTTTTAAGTAGACTCTTGTCACCAAGAACCTTGAGTGTTTGTCTTCTGAAAACCTTTGTTGTAATTAACCTCTGGAATTGTTATTTTATCACACAAGTTTTCTTTTAGCAGTGTAAGATACCCACAGTACGCTAGCTTTTTTTAGATTTGGAGTTCTGATATGAAAATGCTTGTGTACTTTCATATGAGGCTGTGAGGTTGCCACTGACATGAGAGATTTCTTTTGATAAAAATAAAGATGGAAAGAAGGGATAACTTCATGAAGGACTGGGGGGGGCAAGGGGAATTGGGGTGTCTGCTGGAAGATAACACAATAGTCAATGAGGTATACACAGTAAGAAGTAAGAATATTTACTTTACTGATTAAGATTTTAGTGCTCTTCTTGGCAAGGAGTATTTCCTTTAATCTGGACCTACTCTGTTTATTCTTGAGGCAAATCTGTCTGGAGTACAATAGAACTCTCTTCATAAAATGTTTTCAAAGGGTGCTGACACACTGGAGGAGTTGGGCGTTTGATCTGTAGGTTTGTATTTATATAGATGTTGGACATACTATTTTATTTTTGTTTTATATATACGTATGTAGACTACTTTGTACTGAAGAATAAAACGTTGGCCTGGAAGCAATGAAATTTGTTTCCTGAATTGTAGGTGTTTACATGGAGCCTATATGCTGTTAAATCCTTGTCCTTCTTCACTAACATATTCCATGCTCAAATGGAAATGTCTAGACACACTGGATAAAATAAATTCTAGTCATATTTCATTTTGCCACAGAGATGATCTTACCTCATTATTGCTGCTCCAAATTAATAGCATTAAAAAGTAGCAGTAAAATATTAAAGTGACAGAGAGGAGAAATGTTGATAGTTATTCACTGTATTTCTGACTAAGTGAGTGGTACCTTTGGTGAAGATTTAAATCTGTTGATAGTAAGTAAAGAAACATGTTTCTGTTGATTGAGAGACTGTGTTGCAAAGTAATGTCACCCATCCTCATAACACTGTATTTCATCCTGTTGGCTTCTACCAAAACGTGTCTTTTCCAACCAAACCAAACAGAATTTTAAACCTTCATTTTCCCTGATGCGTCTTGAGTGTTTCCACGTGCTTTGTCCTGAGCAATAGCGTTTAAGGTTGAGAAAGCAAGTGGAGATTTACTGTTTCATGCTAACTAGAGGAGAAGGCATACCACAACAAAATTCTCTCCTCCCTGTTAACCAGAAAGATGTATTAGCTTATATGCAGTGGAGATTTCCTTTGACTTGCCATAAGCATTGCAGTGGGGTATCTCTCACACTCCCTCCTGCAGTGGCAGTGGGGTTGTCCTGGTAAACACATGGCAGCTGCATTTTGCAGCATTCCCAGTCTAGCAGCCAAAGTCTAAAGCCCCAGTAACCCTTTCTCATCTTACTGGGTTCCATTTCTACATTTTTAGTTCTCCAGATAACCAACACCACTTTCATGATCAGTGCTTTTAACATTAAGCCAGGAATATGCAGCAGCTCGTGCGCATTTGACTTGGGGCTGCCAGAAAAGAGCAGTTTATGCAAGCCAGACTGAAATGTTTCATCAAAACAAGGATGAAGATGACCAAGAAGGGGAGAATAACGAACAGTGCAATTACTTTGAGTAGTTGCTTCAGGAGAAGTTATTTTGGAGCAGATTCATTCAGGGCTGCATTGTTTCTGTAATAGTCCAACAGGTTTTGACTTGAAGAGGTGCACGTTGTGGACCTGAGATGAACAGTAATGGAACAAGTCAGGAGAGCAGAAGGCCTGCACAGGCTTTTCTTCCAGTACGAGTTCCCCAGTTCATCCAGAGGCTGTGACTGTTTAGAAGGTCCAGATTTCAATTTGCTTTTGCTCAGCAGCAAACTATGTGGACAAACAGATGTACTGAGCTGTTCCAGTAGTGGCACAAACCTTTTAAAAAGGTAGTTGTCATCTGTTGTAAGGCTTGTCAGTCCTCATGTCAGTGCTGACTTCAAGTTCATAAATTGTTAACTGCAGTAAGGGTAGCTGGTGAAACCCATATTCTAACTGTTTTGTTCCTCCTGCATCAGAAAGGAAAATTCATATTTTCACCCAGAATGGGGTTTTCTAGGGCTAGAAACAATGTACAGTACTTCAGTTATAACTTTACATTGTTGCCCGCGGTCGAAAAAACCCTGAGAAGGCAAGGAATTACCCTTGCTGAGATTGTGAGGCAAATTCAACAGATTTATAGAGTGCCTGAAGGAGTTAATACTCTTTTTCCCAGGTAAGATTCTTCAAATATGCATATGAAAAGGACAGTAATGTTTTATTTCTTTGAGTTCCTGGGCAAGTTTTTGAGAGATGGCAACATGAGATGCTGGGCTGTGGAAGTTTTTGTGTTGATTTTGCAGCCTGCAATCTGTGAATCATAATTTTACAGAGAGTAACAACAGTTACAAGAGTCTTAAGTGCCATCCATGCAGGACTACAGGGCTGTCTGTTTTGCTCTATAAGATTTACACATGAATGCCTTTTTACCTATATGCATCTTCAAAAAATGCATAGATGTCTTCAGGTTATTTTACTGTGTGACCTCTTAGCCTGGAAAACTGTGATGGTCTACATACAGGGATTATTACTTCTGCTTGTGGAGCTATATAAAAGCAGGAGAAATAAGCTTTGACTATGCAGAAATACTTTTGGCTTGAGGTAAAATGATGTGAAGCACAAATGAAAAAAAAAACAGTTTTCTAAAAATGAAAATGCTGGAATGCAGTTCACAATAAATTGGTCAGCAAGAGGTACATCAGTCAAAAAGCATTTCACTTCGAATTTGAAAACCTCAGTCACTTGCTGCCTCTTGGAACACTTGGTTCTCAACTGCCCAACACCAGACCTTTGTTTCAGAAATAAAGGGGAGGCTGCTAAAAGGAAAGAGGGATTGATGCTGAAGTAAACTAAGACTATAAAAGAGGCCATAAAATATGAAGTAGCACAGAAATTATTTTTTTAAAAGTGCAGGACATGTTGGCTGCTGAAGTATGCAGGAGCAAGTGGCCCAAAACTACCTGTCTGCATTTAAGCAGGAAAAAAATAGGCAATTGCTAGAGCCCAAGGAAGGGGGAAGACAGATAATCAAACCATTGTGGGTATGGGTTCAGAGCACTGTGGGAAAGCACTTGGACAACTGCCATCACAGCAGGTAGTAGATACAACCCCACAAATAATGTAGACTGAAGTTACTGCTGATAAACATATCAGGAGAAGGAGGAAAAATAATTAAGTTTTTTTTAGTCCATAAATCTATAAATAGACAATATAGTTGAATCCAGATGTTTTTACTGCATTGCAACCAGTCATACTATGAAGGAAACCTTCCTGTGGACAACCTTTCAACACAGTTTTGACCAACATTTGAAAGGCTGAAAGCTGGCTTCTAGTTCAGGATGCTTCAGTATTTCTTCCTCTCTTCCTCCTCAGATTCTAAAGCAGTCCCTGCTCTTGTTCCTCTTGAGCGGTCAGTACGAGATTATTTTAGTTAGACACAGAAATTAAAAATTTGTGGTGCACGTGCTTGTACCTAGCTTTGGATGTGGTTTGAATACTTGAACCCTGCTTTTCTGCTTTGCTAATTCACTTGTGAGAATAATGTCCTGGGCAAGCTGCATTAGAGAGACATGAGCAACATAAACCTTAGTAAAAGAGTAAAACAAACCTCAAGAATGGTTTTGTTATTTATTTTAATGCAAGTATTCTATATCAGACTATACCTATGAGTGTGCTTTGCTAGAAAAGGCATTTTTATCTATTACTACGGGAAATACAAAAGAGAGACTACAAAACATTAAGTATTTAGGTTTATCATCTCTCATACCTGCAGGAAAACTCGCTTCAAAATCTTAACATAAAATGTTTCCCATATACAATGACATGGAGGCTTGTTGGTATTTCCTACTCCAGTATTTTTCTAGTTCTGTTTTATTTCTTTACATAATTTTCTGTCTGCGGTAATTTAATGTAGAATGTAGAATTCTGATGAAATCTTTAGATTTGGAACACAGAGTGAGTAAATGCGTCTTTGTTTTCCTTGCATGCAAAAAAAACTTGCTAGACTTAGAAAGAATTTTGCCACTTGTTTAGTTCATAGCCAGTACCCCTCTGTGCAGGTATCTGGTGTTTTCTGATGTTGAGAATAGTGTCCGAGTCGACAAACTGCAGTTTACTTGAATTGTTTTAGCATAGAAGAAATAAAATCAGTTGACTGAAGTTATTTTATAAGAGCCTAATGAATTTATTTTATCTTTACAGACTATTGGGAATATTCTGGAAATGCGCCAGGATTGGTAATTTTTTGTCTTTGAAATCTTTAAGACCAGTGCTTTTACTAGAGTATTCATTATTTGTTAGGATACTGTTTCCATGTAGCAATGAAACCCATACTCATACATCATCTTAAAAAATGCAGGTTTTACCTCCATGAAACATAGTGAAGGAAGGGTAGGATATGACTATCTTAGTTAGCACCATGGAAGCCTGCATTTTCTAATGTCAATTCATATATGTGGTGTTACATTTGCAGAAATCTTTTGCACTTTTTACTACATGAAATAGCCAAGGGCATACTTATTAACATACAAAGAAATCAGTGATTCCTTATAAACTGCTGTCTATTTGAGATTCTAATGGACTACTGACAAAAGCCAGATATTTACCTTATAGTAATAAAACAACAGGGAATTCATAATGCAGTAAGGTTCTGTTTAATCACTAATGTCTTCTTTTCTCTCCTTTCTTTAGTTAGCTTCTGTACACTTTTGAATTACGCAAAACTGTTGATGTCAAGTGGCATCTGTATGGAGGCTGATCAGCTCTATCTGATTTTAGACATTTTCCCATAACATTGATATTTATATTTATTTTAATCCTTATTCTGAATTTATTTTGAGAAGGAAATGGGAATATGCAACAGAAGTTTTGTCTTAGCATTAAGGTATATCCAAGATTTTTAAAAAATTACAAATCCGTCATCAAAACAGTGTTCTTCAAATTACATTGTTAATGCAGAGCAGAAACACTGAACTTGTAATTCTAGATCTTCCTACTTGTCATTGAACCTAAAGAAAAAAATGTATGGTTCTATTTTCTGCATTCTCAGGCTTTGAAAGGGACATGACATACATTTTCCAGTATGTCAAAAAGCATTGATGCAAAAAACAGTTTTTTGTGAAGACCTGTTGTTAAAATGATTGCAGATATTGTCCTATTTAGATAATAGACATAGCAGAACCAATTTTGGTATTGTAATTGAAACATACTGGCAAGGTGGCAGCTGTCAGAAATGAATTTTGAGCTATACCAGCAAAAACAAATATGAAAATTCAGCTGCATTAAGGTTTGTTCAACGTTGAAGAGAACACCTTACCTTATCTTACTGTCTTCTAAAATTTTTAGTTAATTAAGTGCAAGCATATTTTTTCTATTAGCTATGCACAGCAAACAGTTCAAAAAGCTATTTAAAAGAGTACACAAGAGGTTTTATGAGGTCCCTGTCAACTTGATAAAGTTAAGAACTGCAGTTCATCTGGAATATAGTCTTCCTTTTCCATCATGTACTAACATTAATGTCTTTGCATTTGCTGCATCCAAGTTAATGCATGCACTCTCGTGCTCCATACTGAACTGCTTCTTTTTCTTTTTTATGTAAAGCACTAATTTATTTTCAACTTACATCTAGAGTGGTCCAATTTGACTTTCTTTTAGACTGACAGATGAGGAGGTAGCATTTTAATGTCCCTTTTGTACGTTTCCTTAGGTAACAGTACCATATCCTCAGTATGGGGAATGGGCTTTGAAGATGATTCCTATCATTTTATTTGTGTTAATCACAAAGGCATGTAGAAAGTGTAGGCTTTTAAAAATGAAAATGCCTACTGGCTTCCTTTACATTTAACTTGCCCAGTATGTTTAAACAACCTTTTCACATGTGCATAAGATTTTAATAACCAGCAAGTGGTTACATATTTACAAAGTTGTGCAAAATGATGTTTAATCCTGCCACATGGTGATTTCTCTTTTAAGAAAATTAAGAGCAGGAAAGTATAAGCCATATGAAAATTGTAATGCTCTAAACTGTAGGAGGTGGACTTCCTCAAAAATTTATTTTAAACAGATGTGAAACTGCAGACGTTAATTCATTCAGTTATTTGAAGTTTAATTAAATATATGCCAGATCATGACAACATCTTGTAA